TCGTCGACGGTGGCCTTGCCAGTGCGTCCGAGGTACTTGACGAACTCGGTGAGCGAGGTCCACTTGGTGGCGTTCATGTGCAAGTGGTTGCGGTCCCGAATCAGCTCGGCGTAGACCAGGTTGGCATGCACCCTCTTCGTGCCGTGCCTATGATCAAAACACAATAAATATATAAATTAAGAAACAAACTCAATCATTATTGAATCAAATAAGAATGAATGGGTACCTGTGCCGAAGATGCCGGATGAAGCTGTCCTCGAACTCAACCGAAAATTCATCGAGGAACTTGTTGGGATTGTCTGAGAAAATGGCCATCTGGCGCTGGTGCGATTCCGAACTTGTGTGACACTACGAGAGGCCACGAGAAACGGGTGAGCACGCGTCGCTTGAAAGGAGGCAGATGCAGGTGTAAGGGGGGGGGGAGAGATGTACCTTGAATCCGTTCTCATCACGGCACTGCTTTTCGCACATCTGGCAATACCATCGCAACTTCTGGAGGCCCTTCGCCTTGATGCGGTTGGCAATGGCCTTGGGCGTCAGGAAGCCTCCACTCTTTCCCATCTTCTTTCTCCAATCTTGCTCTCCTTGTTGGTTTGATTATTTTTGTTTATTGTCGGTTTTATTTTCTTTTATTTCTTTTTCCGAGACTTTTCTTTTCTCGGAATGGAATGACAAGCAGCCAGGCGACCTGGTCAAGCGCGGTTGGTGATGGCGACTTGCATGCCGTGCGGGCGCAGCGTCACGGCGGGAACGGCCACCACGCGCGCTCCCTCGACAAGGCGCACTGAAAGGCAAAAGAGGGCGTTACATACCAAATGGTTAGTATTTGGCTCTTACGAGACGTCCCTCATCAAGGAATCCTCCCCGCCCGGAATGTCAAGGTACCTTCAAAGTGGCGCACGATGGCAGCGAGCAGGACGCGAGCTTCCATCATCGCAAAGTTACGACCAACGCAACTGTTTTGCGTTGGATTTAGTCGCAGTTGGCAACCGCACACACGATACACGACACACGCGACACGCAAACGGTAAAACAGCACACGGTACGCGACGCAATGGTACCTTCTTAGTCCGCCGCTGAAGGGAAGGTAGGCAAAGGCGTGCCTGGCCTTGGAGTTCTCCTTGGTGAACCTCTCCGGGTCAAATCGCTGCGGCTCGGGCCACAGGGACGGATCCCTGTGGATCAGGTATGGCACCACAGTGACCTCGGTCTGGGCACAGCATCACAACTTCGCGTCAACACCAAACGACGTCCAGCCAACGAACCATCAAATCAACGAATCAACGCGTGGAAGAGTTGCCGACGTACGCCCTGAGGAATGAAGTACTGGCCGATGTGATTGTCCTGCAGGGCGCGACGCACAAACCCTGGCTGCGGCGGGTAGAGTCGCATGGCCTGGGCACTTGAACCGTTAGTGGTGTTTCATTTTTGAGGGCCGGAGACGAGGTGTACCTCGGAGAGGACCATGTCCAGGTACTGCAGCTTGGGGAGGTCATCGGCTGCAGGGGTGCGCTCGCTCATCACCTGAACCAGCTCTTGCACCAGCTTGTCCTTCACCTGCGCGTGCTGCGCCAGCAGGTAAAGCGTCCACGACAACGCGATGCTCGTGGTCTCGTGACCGGCAAACTGTATCGCAGCAAATGCAAATGTCAGCGCCAACCCAGCATCGACCGAGGCGAGCGTGGCCACGGTGTGTACCATGATAGTCATGACCTCCTCCATGATCTGCTGGTTGCTGAAGCCCTCGCCGTCGCCCTCGTCGTCCTTGGCCTCGAGCAGAAGGTCCAGCAGGTCCTTCTCGCGAGGCTCCTCGGGCTGGTCGGCCCCGACGTCGGTCGGCAGACCGTCGACGCGCAGACCGCTGGGCTGACGCCGCATGCCGGTACCCCTCTGCACCATCTGTTTGCGCCGCTTGTCGATAATGCTGTATACCAGTGTCCGCAGCTTCTGGACGTTGGCCGTGAACTTGCGCCCTGGGCGGTCGTGTACCAGTGTCGGTCAGGGTGTGGTGGTGGTGGTGGTGGTGGTGGTGGTTAACGTGAAAGAGGTGGTACCTGCGGCGGTGCAGTGACAGTAGACCCAATTGGGCAGCGAAACGAAGTCGTACGATCTTCATAAAAAGAGAGAGAAAGAGAAGGTGAGAGGTGAGGTGATGACAAATGGGCATGAAAGGGATTCAGGCCGGGTACCTCTGCTCGATGGCTGACAGAACGTACTCGAACGCTTCCACGACGTCGTCGCTCTCCGAGTCGCCTTCCGGGTTGAAGCCGAAGCCGAACGCGGACAGTCCGATCACGTCGAGCGATGTCTGGAGCGCGACAGTGATCAGCACATATTATCAACGTGAGGCGCGTGAAATGAATCCAAATGTTTGTGCCTTCTTCAGTTCGAGGCTGAGGTCTTCGATGCGGAATTGTGCGCCCGCGCCATTCTCTTTGCTTTCGGCCGAGTGGATGTTGCGCTTCCACCGCTCCACCAATCGCTCCGCTGCGAGGCAAGATT